GCTCCAGGCTCCGAGCCATCAGCCCAGAGCCTGACGCGGGGCTCGAACTCACGGACCGCGAGATCGTGACCTGGCTGAAGTCGGACGCTTAACCGACTGCGCCACCCAGGCGCCCCCCAGCAAATAAAATTCTTAACGTTTTAGAGTTCACCAAACAGGGACTAACTCCCCTTGATACTAGACCATACTTGGCTTTTGATTCCAATGAACCAGGTATCATGAGACGCAAGGAACTCTTTCGGCCCTGTTAGTTACAACGCAAACTGCGACCCACCGTTTTCTTGGGCCTTGTCTGAAAGAGGCGGTCTCTAGTCACCCAAAGGCGACCGATCCCCAGAGCCGGCGTAGCCCACGCAGCAACAGAAGCTAACAGGTGTTCTTGCCCACCACCCACAGCCAAACCCCTGCTGGAGCAACCAGGAGGGGGCGGGGAGTGGATTGGGGACAGACCACCCACCTTTCATTCTTTCACCCCAGGGTAGAAGTTCAGGTCCTTTTACCTGAACCAGAACACGGATGTGCAAGGCTTTGAAAGGCAACGTGGATACTGACAGAACCCTTAGCAAGCAGATGACTTAACCAGGAGTGGATAAAAACCCTTTACACCGCATAATTACCCAGCAGGAAAATAGTGTCAACCAAGGGCCTTAAGACTACATAATTCCCTTTTTCAGCATGAATCCTCCAACGGCCTCAGGGAAGGGAAGCAGCCGCTGTTGCGTGAGGTGGGTGACAATAGTCACTGTTGCGTGAGGTGGGTGACAACAGTCGCTGGCAATCTTTTCATTCCACCTGGGTTCCCTCCCCGAAGGAAAACTGTCACTTGACAGTGGAAGTGACAGGGGATCTCAGGCCACATGTAAGGGCTCTCCTATAATAGTTCTCAGGTTCCTTATCTTCAAAATAGGGATAATGAAAAGAGACCTAACAGGCAAGCAGGTGCTCAAAATCAAAGACACGTAGAATCATGGGAGCTTACAGCCAGACTTTCAGGCCCCACCCCCCGCCCCTGCCCACGGCAAGCTTCTGACAATGTGAAGGTCGAGGTTGAGTCTGCTTGAGTCTTCTGTTCTCCATGGCACACGCCTTTAGTTTATTTCACAGATGGCAAAACCAAGGTCCAGAGAGATCCGAGGACTCGGGCAAGATCACAAGCCCCAATTCACGCCTGACAGATAGCAGAGCTAGGGTCTTCTCGGAGTCTGATTCATACCCAACAGAAATGAGGAGGGGCCCTTTCCCCATGCTCAGCGCCTGGTCCTTGTTAAGGTGCAGCTAGGTGTGGCCAGGACCCCTTCTCTCCTCCCTTCTTCCCCACAGGGAAATCTTTAAATTGGTGAGTATCATTACTAGACGTGTTTTTGTACTTCTCTATATGCACGTATCCACAGACAGTTCAGAGTGTTATTTTATGCATTAAAAAAAAATAATAACATTAATGGTATCATACCAGGGGTGCCTGGGTGGCTCAGTCGGTTAAGCCTCCAGCTCTGGATTTCTGCTCAGGTCATGATCTCACCAGTTCAGAGGATCAAGTCCCACGTTGGGTTCCATGCTGACTTGCCTGGGATTCTCTCTCTCGTTCTCTGACCCTCCCTTGCTTTCTCTCTCTCTCTCTGTCTCTCGAAACAAATAAATAAACTTTAAACTAAAGAGATAAACGGTATCACACCTTATCTTCTTGCAACTTGATGTTTTTCAATCTGTAGCGTGTTCTTAGGTTATCTTTATTGGTTCATGTAGCTCTCCTTAAATGGTTTCTAATAGTATAGAGTAGTCCATTATCTGAATAAACCTTAGGTTATTTACCCATCCTTAACTGAGTGCTTAGTAAGTTTTTCACTATTATGAACAGAACTGCAATAAACATCCTTGGACATGTTGCCCTGCACCTATGGGTGAGGCTTCTCTGGGGTGAACCTCCATCAACAGATTGCTGGGTCATAGACAGGTTCATTGTCAAGTTAATGCAGTATTGTCTCATTTCTCTCCAAAGCAATGGCCTCCGTATGCACCCTTGCTGTAGATATATGATTTCTGGCTCTCCACATCTTGCCAACACATGACTAATGTTTTAAAGAAATCTATTTGCCTACCTCTCTCTCTCCATCAGTTGTTATATATGTCATTCAAGTTTTTGTATTCTTGTTTTTTTATTGTCTGTTCGACATACCATTTACTGGAAGAAGCATATCTAAAAATACCATTCTAATTGTACAGCTGTAGATTTCTCTTTGTATGTCTATCGATTTTTGCTTTATTTAATTTAAGGCTACATTATTGGATCCCTATAGGTTCATTATAACTTCCAGGTGAATTTTTTTTAATCCTTAAATGATGACTCTCTTAGACCTGCAATAAAGACTTGCCTGTAAATCTATTTTGTTTGTATCAATACTGATACAACAGCTTTCTCTAGGTCAATATCTGCCCATTGTATCTTTTTCTATCAATTTACTTTTCTCTTTTATGTCATTGTGTTTTATGTGTGATCCTTGCAAGTGGTGTGTACATATATCTTTTATTTGTATTTTTTTAATGTTTATTTATTTATTTCTGAGACAGAGAGAGACAGAGCACAAGCAGGAAAGGGGCAGAGAGGGAGGGAGAGAAAGAATCCCAAGCAGGCTCCACGCTGTCAGCACAGAGCCCGATGCAGGGCTTGAACTCACCAACCGTGAGACCATGACCTGAGCCCAAATCAAGAGTCGGATACTTAACCGACCGAGCCACCCAGACATCCCAATATATCTTTTATTTTTAATCCTATTCGAGAAACTGGTGCGTGTCATCCTTTGCACCTGTTGCGTTTACTGAAAAACATGCATTTATTTCTACTGTTGTATTTTATGTTTCACATGTTAACTTTATTGACATATCATCTCTGTATAATAAAATATACCATAGTATTTGGCATTTTGTTGTCCATACTTTTTCTTTAATATTTTTTGTTTATATATAATGTAATAAGTGAAACCTGAAGGGACTTTTGATACATGTAAAGCGCTTAGAAAAAGTCTACCACAAATTAAGTGTTCAAAAAAAAAAAA